GTCGTAGACCGCTGCGGGCTCAGCAGAAGCGGGTCAATCTTCGCCTCGCATTGCTTGCACGTAGGGCCCACAACTGTGAGTAAGTTAGCAAAATATATTGCTCTAACCAATTACTTGCGTCCAAATATTTGCCAATAGCACGGTACTGTAAGGGTGGAATTTATTCATTAGGCAAAATACTAAAATGTTTTATACTATTACTATTTGGCTTTGCTTTCATATTAATATTATCAGATTTATAAACAAATATATACTTTACATGCAATAAAAGTGACAAAAACAATTATCTATCGTGCGCGCATGCATTCGTCGGGTACGGTGCACGGGAGCAGATACCGCAATGACCGTGCAGCCGCGCGCCTTCATTGCACGGTGGCAGTGGTGAGTTCCAGGTAAAATACAAAATATATTTATACGCAAAGTCGCTACAAAAAGCGCTGGTCGTGAAGTCTACTTTAATATTAAAATACTATCGTCTCTACTTTAGAGAGTGTGTGGAAAATAGCATCGCCGAGCTCTTACAAATGCGGCCTGTGAAGCTTATTTTATTAATACTATTAATATCGTCTTTACTTTGAAAAGTGTGTGGAAAATAACATCCCAGAGCTTTTACAAAATACTGGTCTGTGAAGTCTACATTAATAATAATAAAAATCTCTATTTGAGAAGTGTGCAGAGCTCTTTAGAAAATAAAGTGGTTACTGTGCCCGATTTGCAGTACATACGACAGGCTTTGCGCTGCTGAATGCAATAAATTCAAGTATCTGCTGGCTGTTTGCAACCCAATCGATGCGTTTCGTGCTCGGCAGAAATGTTTACCTTACGTCCAATCGCGAGGGCGATAGACGGTCTGATCGTGCGACAGATCCAGTCAGTGTCGCAGGTCGGCAGGTATTGCCCAATCAGGGCGCGAGTTAATTGTGTCCGCTTTTTGGCCATATTTGTAATTTTGGCATAGTTAAGTCGAGTCAGAAAGATAGGCGCGGTCGGTAGGATGGGAGCAACCTGTATAAGACAGGCCGGGTGTAGCCATGCGAAAAGGCAGGAAAACAGCAAGAAAGGAACCGGACGGACTTATTGACAGACGGACGGACAGGTTACAAGGTTAGGGAGCGGGAAATGGTTGAAGAAAGCGAATTATAACGGTCATGACAAAGAAAGTATCTTTTTAAGAAACGGCTCCGGGCAGTTATGTGGCCTCACCAAAAAGCGTGCGTAGCACTTGTCGCGAGTGGCGACAGCGGATGAAATACATGGCAGGCAATTATTACCAGTCAAAATTGGCGCAATGAAGCTCTATTCCAATGCAGCTCTATTCCAGGTGACGGTTTGCTCTGGCTGTAGCATTTCTTGCCAGTGTACTGAGGAAACCCTGCAGCGCTGGACGCAGGATGAATCTGGCGAATCCACCGCAGCAGAGAAGGTATCCCAGCACTGATGGCTCCATCTTGAGCGACCAGATCACTAGCGTAGCAGGGGTGCTCTCTGGGGACGCCGCTACGTCCACGAACTGCACGAACGCGAGGTGGTCCTGGATCGGGAACACCCCAAACTTGTGGATCTTGTAACAGATCGATGGGATCTTGGAGTGATCTCGGCGGGCTGCGGCAAGACTCGGTCGCCCTCCATCGCTGTCTACGGGATCATCAATGGGCAGCCCCGCTGATAGAATCTCCTCTTCAATGCCCAGCGGGGCTCCCCGAACGTGGCCGACATAGCCTCGGCCTTCGCCCTCGTGCAGCTCCGAGCCCCCCGCCAGCCAAACTTGCTCCAACCATGCGTCAAACACTTCAGAGGGAGAGCCGACGATGCATTCGGATACCACGAGCTCCTGGCCCTTGTAGTGCTGGTACTTCTCGAAGGCTTGCGCGTCTACGTATCGCGTCGGGTCCAAATGATTGCTGCGCATTCCTCTCGTCAAGTGTAGCTAGCAAAAGTTGAACTCATTTGCTGTTTGGATATTATGGCCAATAGAAAGGACCGCCTACACGTCTTGTTTGCTCTCTTGCTTCTTGGCAAGCGATCGTAGGAATGTCCTCAGCGCTAAACGAAAGACCAGGCGGATTAAACCACCGCAATGCAGCCAACTGCACGCCCTAGACATCTCCGTCTTCACTGTCCACACAACGAGAGTTGTAGGGGTTTTGCTTGCTGCCACCCCTGAGGTCCTTAGGAAAAAGCGCACCATAGCCAGATGACTTTGCAGTGGGAATGGGCCAGGTTTGCAAACTCGGTAGCAGATGGATGGGATCTTAATACTTGCGCTTTGCTCCCCGACTGACGCTTCGGGTATCCCCGCCGACAGGATCTCCTCCTCCACATGCAGTGGCACTCGACGCACACTTCCGACGTATCCTCGGCCAACACCTTCGTGCACTTGGTCTCCGCCAGCGAGCCAGACGTCATGAATCCACGCGTCGAAAACTTCCGCTGGTGTCCCTATCACCACTTGGGACAGCTCGAAATCCTGACCAGTCTGGTTGTCGTACGCTTCCAGCCAGAGGGCATCGATGTAGCAATCAGAAGGAAGCATCTTGACGTGACTTCAATTGTGTCTACGAACCGATTAGCTTTTATAGTGGTGCCTACCGGTGGACATTATTCACTTGGTCCAACAAAGAAAAGGGAAAGCTGTATCTGAGCGGCGAGATTGGTGCTGTTGTCGCTTGAGAGCTATTGATCTATTGTTATTAAGACTTACAAATTCATTCTGATCTTGTCCATCGGTGTTTGTGCGCAATTTTTGATCGACTACTACTGTAGTAAAAGGTTGCCGTGGCACTGATTCACGACATTCATATAATTTACAGCGTCTCCTTAAAGGCGTTACGTTGGCGACTGGCGTAGATGACCCCAATTACGGTGAGGAAGAGCGTGACGACAGCTACTGCAATCCCACAAACGATCCAGCTGTCAGGTGACATGCCCACGAACTCAACTTCACCTCCTCCATCAACGGCCGTGTGTGCCGCGCCAGCTATTGCTCCGGTAGGAATCACAGGGAAAACACTAAGGCCACAATTAATTTTCGAGTCCATTGCTAGCCTCAGAAACCCTTTCTCCCCCCATGACGCGCCGTACGAGTTCTTAAGAATCCAATAGTCTGTGGAGCCGTCCGAGCCATAACCAACAAGCACGACGGCGTGGTTAATATCTCCGCTTGATGCGAAATCTCCATCGTTGGGGCAAGTGTAAATGCCGCCCTTGTAAGCATCAAAAGAGCCGCCAGAGTTGATAGCCACTGAAATAGGCTGTTGCTGCAGTACCAGTTTGAGCAACTCGGTCGAGTCGCTGCTCAGGTCGCACGAAGGTCCTGCTACTTGCTCCCAACCAGAAATGCTAGCAGCAGCGTTGTCACTTGACGAGTTATCGCATGCGTTTGCTAGAGTCGCAGCGGACGCCTGTGATGTGTCCTCTTCGTTGTACGGCAGGTCCAGTTGGCTCAGAAGCGACCAGTGCAATTGCGCTGCGTCTGCGAAAGCGGCGTGGGTCATGCCTCCACTACAGGCATTGTTCCTGGACCCCCAAATCATCTTCGTTAGCAGCCACGGAGATCCATCTACTCCCCCATCAGCCCAACAGTAGTCGAACGTAGCTGTCATTTCCCTGGAGCTGCACTCTAAGAATTGCTGTGGAGACAATGACCGCGGAGACGTTCCTGCATTCACCACCACGGCGGTCTCGATGGCATCAGCCGCCGCAAATGCCCAACAACTACCACATTGGTTCTGACTCTTAATATCAGTGCAGATGCTCTGGTTGTGTGAGTTGTCCTTTGAGCACCAATCTAGTGTCTCTCGGATGGCGAGTCTGCGCTGTTCTGTCAGTCTGCGTCGCTGTTGACGCTGTGATGCTTGATGCTCCTGCTCTACGAAATCGGCAGGTGACAAACTCCGGCTGCCGTCATGGTACAAATGCCGCGAGTTGACGCCCATAGCGTACGAGAAGGCCCAGTCCCGACCAGCCGCATGCTTCTGCACTTGTTCCAGGTAGTCCACGTGATCTTCCATTCTGCGCCTGAACTCGCTCGGGCCTGCGTCCATGCCTTCATCCTGCAAAAACTGCGTCACCATCGTGTCCGAGGACACTGCGACGCCATCCCGGTCTGCCCACAGACAGCGCGCGTCATCGCAGCTCTGTAGTGTTCCAAAGGAGGAAGGATCTTGAGCCTGAGTAATCAACGGAGCGACGGTAGCTGCCATCAACACTAGCAGAGTGGTCCACGTCGGCGCCATTTTCAGTTGCTCAGTTAGACCACTGACCTCGGAAATGGCAGATGTGGGAGTGATTGTTGCCTTGAGCGTTTGATTGCGGCAGATTTAGGGTACGACCATACAAACTTTAAGATGTTGTGAGTCAGCCGATGGGGCACGTTACCCACGCGCTATGATGGACTTTAAACGAGCGCCTTCAAAAGGCTTTCAGGATCGCAGTTGTGAGCTTCAAGACTTGGCGTTGCAAGCGTATTATTGGCGTTTGCGGGACTGGGGGCACTTGTTGAACCGTCCCAGGCGTCCTGCATGGGACGTCGCTGGCTCCTTGTTGTACATGTACGTGGTGCGTTGAGTTGGTCGTCTGCAACGTTGCACGCGCTGTCTGGATTCTCAGCCACGTCCCCATGTGATTCACGTTGTGAAGGTCCTGAACCAGCCTGATTATGGATTTGTAATAAATAGGGTGCAGGCGCTGCTCTGACACGCTTCACATCCTTTACTTTTTGTTGTTTCTGTAGTCGGCAAGATTTATCGCATTTGAGCGTTCACAGTGGAGCTCATATTCCCAAGGTGGATACGTGTATATTACCAGCACTGCTCTCTCAACTTGGTTCAAGTCCTAAAATCCATTTTGGGTATTCGTGGGAGTTCGGGCCGCGTACATGGCCGAGTTCTGCTTGCGGATTACCTTCAGCTTCCGCTGTGACACTCCAATACCGATCGCCGTCGTAACCAGCGTGAAAATGGTGGTCGCGGCTGCAACGCCGATCCACGCCGTTGGGCTGAGACCCACGAAGATTTTATCTCCACCGCTGTCAACAGTCGTGCTCGCTTGGGCACCGGCTTTCGCGCCAGTAGGAATAACGGGGAACACGTTCAGGCCACAGTTAATCTTGGCGTCCGCCACAAGCTTCATGAAGCCACTATCTCCCCACGAGCTGCCGTACGAGTTCTTGAGGATCCAATAATCACCGACCGACGAGTCCGTGCCATAGCCCACCAGCAGCAGAGCGTGATTCAGGTCGTTCTTGGAGGCCATTTCGCCATTGTTAGGGCAGTTGTAGAACCCGCCAGCGTACTCGCCAAAGCCGCCATTTGAGGTGATAGCCACAGCGATCGGCTGCTTCTCCAGTGCTGAGCGGAGTAGTAAAGTGCAGTTCTTAGAGGCAGTGCAGTCACCACCCACGATCTGCTCCCAACCAGTTATACTAGCGGCTGCTTGATCCGCACTAACGCTGCACGATGAGGACAAGTTCGTTGCCGACGAGCTTCCAGAATTAGAGTCGTCGTACGGCATCGTAAGCTCTGTCACCAGACCCCAGCCATTCTGAGCCGCATCCATGAACGCTCCGTGGGTCATGCCGCCATTGCACCCGTCGTTTTGCGATTCCCACTTGATCTCGGTCTGCATCCAGCTGGCACCAGCCACCCCACTGTCCGAAGCCCAGCAATACTCAAACGTTTGAGTGGTTTGCAACGAACTGCACGTGAGGAACTGCTGAGGCGATAACGATACGGCCGCCGATGCATTTTCAGTGATCACCACAGCAGTTTCGATCGCGTCTGCGGCTACGAACGACCAACAGCTTCCGCAGCTTTTTTGGCTTTTCACAGGCGAGCACACGCTGTGGCCCACCGAGTTGTCTTTGTCGCACCAATTCCAGTATTCCGAGCTCCCTGAATTTGAGATTGTGCTGTTGTTTGTACTGTTTGCTTCCTGTAGACGACGTGAGTTTGCGGAGGTCAATTCCTGATCCACAAATTGCTCGGGCGTTAACTTGCGCGTGGACGACGACGTCAAGTGGCGATCGTTCACGCCCATGTGATACGAGAAATCATGACCTACTTGCCTTGCATACATGCTCACATCTGCAAGTATAGCCTGTTAGTACGATATTTTTTCTGGGTCAAGTAAAGCTGTCATTTCACCTTCGATATACGTCATGTGCTCTTGCAGGTTGCGTCCGTACGACTCTTTGTCACTGTAGGCCACATAGTTGCGCTCGATAAAAAGCTCGCGGAGTGATCGTGAATCAACGACTTGGCCATTTTCTCCAGCCCATAGGCACGGCGAGTCTTGAGATCGAACACTAGGACAGTCCACAAGAGTACCTACAGATCTGTCCGTAGTCTGAACGGCAGCACCGTTGACAAGTGCTGTTGAAATAACGAAAGTGATGGCTCGAATCTGCATGCCCCCTTTGAGTCCGTGGTCGCAGATCGAACTGTGGGTGGGAGACGAAAGTCCGTCGCTTGTGAGCTCGTAAAGGCTGGCCAGGTGTTGTTGAGAAAAGCTAGGTGATGGTGTTGCAGGAACTTCTGAACCTACTTCGAAGTATTATACAAAATTAATTGTACAGATCTCTTGCTCAGTGGCGACAGGAAAGGGTTTCGGTGTCTGTCCCCACAGGCTGTACCATTCTTGAAATTACTACAGCATTTCAAGAATTCAGCTCGGGGGCCAACAGGAGGTCGGGAAGGCCAAGTGCATTCTGACGACATACTCGAAAGGTTTGTATTCCTAAGCGATATTTGTATTACTGTAAAGTGCAGCAAGTCTAACGTTGCTTCAATGCTGACATTGCTTTATTTTATTGTTTCTGGTTAAACCCGTATGGATCACTCAGCTCGCTTACCTAGCGACCATGTTAATATGAGCCTAGTGCGCCGCCATCTCAGCGTTCGCTGCGGGGCGGGTAGCATACATAGCAGAGTTCTGCTTACGCATCGCCTTGAGTCTCCGCTGCGAGAAGAGCATGCCAATGGCTGTCATCACAATCGTGAAAATAGTCGTCACTGCCGCCACAACTATCCAGGTCGACGGACTGAGACCGACAAAAACCTTGTCACCACCACTATCTACGCTGGTGGATGCTGCAGCCCCAGCCGAAGCACCTGTGGGGATGACGGGAAAGATGTTCAGACCGCAGTTGACTTTGGAGTCTGCCACGAGCTTCATGAAGCCACTGGCTCCCCAGGAGCTGCCGTACGAGTTTTTAAGAATCCAGTAGTCTCCAACCGAAGCGTCAGTGCCGTAGCCTACAAGTACAAGAGCGTGGTTTACGTCGTCCTTCGAGGACAGATCGCCATCGTTCGGGCAACTGTAGAAGCCACCAGCATATTCTCCGAATGGGTCCTCCGAGTTAATCGCTACAGCAATCGGTTGCTTCTCCAACGCAGTGCGGAGCAAGGTGCCGCAATTGTTCGAAGCCGTGCAGTCTGTGCCCACAACCTGTTCCCAGCCTGTAATGCTGGCAGCCGTCTTGTTATCACTCACCGAACATGCTGATGACACATTGCTTGAGGACGTACTACTTGAGCTGGAGTCGTCGTATGGCATCGTAAGCTCCGTAACAAGGCTCCAGCCATTCTGTGCCGCGTCGATGAAGGCACCGTGGGTCATACCACCATTGCACCCGTTATTCTGCGATTCCCACTTGATCTCAGTTTCCATCCAGCTAGCACCGTCCACACCGCTGTCTGATGCCCAGCAATACTCGAATGTCTGCGTCGTCTCCAGTGTACTGCACGTCAGAAATTGCTGCGGAGAGAGCGACACAGCCGCCGACGCGTTTTCAGCAATGACGACAGCCGTCTCAATGGCGTCGGCGGCAGCGAATGCCCAGCAGCTCCCGCAGTTTTGCTGGCTCTTGACGGACGAGCACACACTGTAGCCGAACGAGTTGTCCGAGTCACACCAGTTCCAGTACTCGGAGCTACCGGAGCTCGACACTGTGCTTGTGGCGGAAGCCGTGCTGCCGCTGGCCTCCACCTTAAGGCGACGTGAATATGCCGACTTGACCTCTTGATCCACGAGCTGCTGAGGAGAGAGACGGCGTCTGGCTGACGAAGTCAAGTGGCGCTCGTTCACGCCCATGTGGTACGAAAAATCGTGGCCCACGCTGTTAGCGTACATGTGTACATCCTCTATATACGTCATGTGTGCCTGTAGGTTGCGGGTGAGGCTCTCGCGCTCGCTGAAGGAGACGAGGTTGCGCCGAATGAGCAGATCGCGCAAGGTCTTCGAGTCGACGACCTCTCCATTCTCGCCCGCCCAGAGGCATTGAGAGTCGGCCGAGCGAAACGCGGGGCAGTCCACTAGAGTACCAAGAGAGTGCTCTGTGGTGCTAGCGGTCAAGGAAGAGACGACGCCCATGAAGAGCGCAGTGAGGGACGCTTGCACGCGCATATTATCCGTCGTAGATGAGATTTAAAGGAATGCTGTCTCTTTGTGAGCTGGACGCTTGAAAAAAAGCGTTTTTCGTTTTCTTTTTGTGACATCATGTCACTGACATGAGTTTACTGTTGACTCAGTTCTACAGTAGACCAAGTCACACGGTGAGCACAAAATCCATGCCGTTGGACAAGCTACGGCCTTTGCTGCATGCGGTGTTTCAAACAGTGTAAGTACATGCACAGGCAAGGAACTTCCAAGTGGTTTTACTTATACAACGAAGATGCCATTAAGTCTTCGCTGAGAATCAGTGAGATGGTCGCAGAGGTGGATGAGATGCTTGCGGAATAACATAACAGGCACGTATCCTTGGCTAATTTGGCTCCAGAATCGCCTGAGGATTGCACCTCCACGAAATACTTCGCTCGTCATGAGCACGAAAGCAAACCATGTTGGCGCTGCGCTGGTCTCATTTGTGGGTTCGCAAGGATAGTTTCCTCTGCTGTGCTTGGTCCACTCTAGTACAATAGTAGATCCATATTGGCAATCGCGCGTGAGCCAAGCAGACTAACCAAGCAGAACGAATGTCGTTATGATACCGTGTGTTGCCAATGACATGTGAGCGACGCTCGCTGAGCGCGCATAATTCGCGAGGCCGTTTTGTTAGTGCAGCGTCGACGACGAGCGTTGCATCTTGCGACGCTCTCGTCCTGGGTGATTGATTTTCTGTTTAATAAGTTCATGTACTGTGGCCGCGATATGAGGTTCCAGCAGTAGCTGCAAAAGCTGGGGCAACAAAGCCAAGCCCATTTCGCTGCACTTCTGTCGGTGGTGACCGCTAAACCAGGCATTTAGAGCCAATACTTCATCTGCCGAATCGGCGTGTGGCAAAGACGGTCAAGGAAAGCAGACCTGATGTGCAGACCCTGACATCTACGTCATTCTCCAATTCGCTGCCTTCTCGCGCGCACGAGTCGCACAACAATCTAGCTAGCGCAACTATAATAAACGGCACCACCCTCCCAATCGAAAACGATGGCGACCCAAGCAGGCGTGAAGGAAGAGGCCCCGCTCCAGGTGAAGAAAGGGATCGAGCCACAGTGGACGCGCTTCCTCGCCGGTGGCGCCGCGTCGGCCACCGCCGAGCTGCTCACTCTGCCCATTGACATCACCAAGGTGCGATTGCAGGCGCAGCGCTCTGGTCCCACGGCTGGCGGAAAACCGACGGTACACTACAATGGCATGGTGCACGCAGCTCAAACCATGATCAAGCAGGAGGGCCCTGGCGCGCTCTGGAATGGCGCCACCCCCGCGCTGTTACGTCAAGTCTCGTACACGAGCATCTGCATGGTGCTCTATGAACCGCTGCGTAACTTCTTCGGTGCGAATGCGGCTCAAGGTGCGAACGGTGAAGCTCCCTTCATCAATAAGTTCTTGGCCGGCGGTTGTGCCGGTGCCATCGGCATCAGCATCGCCAACCCGTACGTTTACAATGCTCTTCTTGGGTATATTGGCGCTTGATTTAATTGAATGGTGTTGTAGTGTGGATGTCATCAAGGTACGGATGCAGGCAGACCGCTCGGGCAAGCTGTACCGTGGCGTCGGCGACGCATTTAGCATGATCTACCAGCGAGAAGGTTTCCGCGGTTTCTTACGTGGTATGCCACCGAACATTCAGCGCGGCTTCATCGTGAACGCTGCTGAACTGGGAACGTACGACCACAGCAAGGAGCTGCTGATCTCATCTGGGCTGCTCAAGGAAGGCGTACTCGCGCATACTGGCGCAAGTTGCGTCGCTGGATTCGCCGGTGCTGCAGCTTCCAACCCGTAAGTTTTTTTGCTTTTGCAGGTCGAAGCTGTTGGGATCAGCATAATGACGTCCTTGTTGCGACGATTGCCTTGGACAGGATCGACGTGGTCAAGACTCGTCTCATGAGCCAACCGACGGATGCAAGTGGCAAGGGGCTTCACTACAAGGGCATGATGGACTGCGTTCGAAAGACCTTCCAGGAAGGTGGTGCGAGTGCCTTCTACAAGGGTTTTATCCCCAACTGGATGCGAAAGGCACCCTGGTGCGTTGTCTTCTTCGTCACGTACGAGAAGTACCGCGCCGCAATGATTCCGAGTGAAGAGGAGATGTAAATGCGTTCGACCCAGCAAGTGCTGCTAGGTCGTGGATAACAAGCCTAGATTTCCAACAAGAATCAATCTTACAACAAAAACCCTGATTTAATCATCACGCTTTTTGATGTTCAAGCTCACTACACTGTGTGCTACCAGCTCATGCAGAGTCCATCGCTGCTACCGACCTTTGCTGCCTGATAAATAAGAATACACTTTCCTTTCCAATGAAGGCACAAGCGCGTCTCCCGTTGGGCCAAAACAGGGGATGGCGTCGAGAAAGCTTCTCTTTCGCTTCCATTTGCATGAGTCTTGACGCTGTAAAATCTGACTTCGTTCGGCCACCAATGAGGTGGTCTTCATTCAAAATCCATCTGGGCCTCCTTCTTACGAAGGCATCCACGCTTTTTTGTTCAACATTTAAGCTCCTCAAAGTCGTGCATCTGCATGTACCACGTTGAGCGCGGCGGCGTCAGGTAGTGCAGGGTTGAAGCCCCGGGGGCCATATTTTCGACTAGCTTCTCGCGCAGATCAATAAACTCATCCGTCTGAACGACATTGATCTTCTCATTGTCCGTAGGAATCGAGATCTTTCTACTCTTTGGCAGCATGACGATGGGAAGGCGCTCGAGAACACGGTCCTCTGTCGACCACCGATCGCGAGAGATCACGTGCACGTTGAGGGTGGAAAAGGATCCGTTCATGAACCTGTTGGAAATAGTGCTCTCCACAGAGGGCACAGACGTCTCCTCCTCCTCTTCCTCCTCGGAGCAGTAGTAGGCCGGACATGTGCGGCGGCGACGCGTGTGGTGAGTATTCGTATTGATATTCTTGGCAAAGAGCGAGCGACGAAACCGGTCGCGCTCCTGTCGTCGCGTCTCTAGCATCTCCTCACGCGACAAACGCGGCTGATTGCTGTTTCCGGTATCACTGGGGGCAACCTGGGCGCTGTTGCTACTTCCTCCAAGAAAGCTGCCGTTGTTGCTGCTGATGCTCCCACGGCTGGTGCGATTCAGGGCCCTAAGCAGCTTCTGCAGCGCCACGAAAGTCTCGTCCACTTCCTCGTCCTCGGCGGAGAGACTAGGGTCGTCCTCCTCAGACACACTGCCCGTGTACGAAGGCATCTTCTTGGACAATCGGGTCTCGGACTTCGCCATCTTGTCTCAATTCTGATCACTCTTTTCTTTGTGTGGAATTTTTGCTTATAACCGCAGCAAATGAGATCTCCGGGTCATGTAGCAGATTGTAATGTGTAAGGCAGCTCCGGTGCGTGCGCTCCCGTGTCTACGCGAAACGCTTGCGAGTGGCTTTCTCAGCGGCTGCCTTCTTGGTGGACAACGAAAGCGATTCTGGGACGCAGACTGCTCGACTTTTAGCGCTTCATAAACGCGGTGGAGCGATCGGTTTTCACAGGCTTGCATTTATGATTGGTTAAAACGTTCCTTCGATAATTTCAGATAAGCAAAAAATAGCTAGAATGTCATTGCTATTTTATCCGCTGACGCTAATGGTCACTAGAATGCGTTGCAAGTGCCGTTGGCACGTAACGCATGCCAACGGCAAAGTTGATATCGCTATAATAGCCAGAGCTGATTCGCATGTGTCAAGGCCAAGGCTCGTGGCAAACGCAAGGCTCAAGGTTTCCAGCCCTAACCCCCATCTTCGGATCACCTTCACTTTGCCAGCGTTGCAACTTGCACTGCTCTGTAAATTGCCAGCAGTGAGCGTTGGTAATACTGTCCAACAATATTAACTAAGTCTGGCTTAAGAAGTACTGACCACAGCTCGCATGTACATGTATCCGTTGCGTCGTCACTCCACCGAGCCTCCGTCCGACTCGGAGGATCAGCGATGCAGTCGCGTCCATCACGTGCTGTGCCGTAAGCTCCTCGCGATAAAGTACGACCACGCAACGTTCCGTAATCCATGGATTTTGTGTGACTCACACAACTCAACTTAAACATTAGCGCCCGTTCGCACGGGCGGTCTATCCAAGGGGTACGCCCTCCCGTGGGCTGCATCTTGACCGCTACGATGGCGGAGCTGCTGCTACGCTGGCTCAACCACGAGCTGGAGCTGTCTTCTCGTGTGACGGACGTGGAGTCGGACTTTTCCAGCGGCTACTTGCTTGGAGAGATCCTGCACCGTCTCAACCACCAGCACAACTTCGCCGACTTCATGCGAAGCTCCAGCGCCGACGCCAAAGTCGTTAACTTCTGCTTGCTGGAGCCGGCGCTGCACAAACTTAACGTTAAGTTTGACGCCAATGTGGCCGTCGCTATCATGAACGAGAAGAAAGATGCCGCCGCCAACCTGCTCTACCAAATCAAGATGGCCGCAGCCCGAGTCGGGAGAGCTCCAAATGTTTCGACCAAATCGCTGGAGCGGACTGGTATCATTCCTTTGCACAACAGACCCGTGAAACTTGCGAAGCCAATCTACGACTCAGAAAAGCACAAGCTGTTTGAGCACTCGATTCGTCGCCATGTGCGGTCGAGCACTTCGTTGCAGCAAGAAAAGTGGGTGCGCGTTATGCTTGGAAGCAGTGTTCCTCGGTTGTTTGACCGTAATCATTTCTGTTGTAGGGACCAAATTGCGAACGAGACGAAGAAACGAGAGGCTTATCTGGCGAGCATGGCGGAGCAGAGAGAGATCCTGGACAATACAAAAGCAGAGAGACTGCACCGCGCATACATCCATAGCAGCTATATTAAAGAAGCTTTCGAAGAGACTGATTCGCCGGCATGGAGACTGGCACTGCAGAAAAAGAATGCATGCGAGCAGCGACGGGTTGCATTCTTACAGCAGCTGATGAAGAAGCGCGAAGAAGCGGATGTATGTTTCGTGCATTATACCTTTTGTGCATTTTCTCGCTAACAGCTGACACGGATACACTACAGGAGAATCTTACCTTCAGTCTTCGTCGTAAAGTTTGCAATGAGCTAGATGATTTCGATGTACGTTATTAAGGTATTGACGTGTTTGCCTTTGCTTACAAAACGCATTTCTCACAGACACAAGATCGATCAAAGGCTGGAATGGCGGGCAGCAAGGTTTCTTCACGGAAATCGGTTGGATATGGTCTACGCTCACTTACAACAGCACTGAATGTATCGTCCGACAAGCAGAAGTATTCAAATGCTCACTTGGCGGGATCAGCGATGAACGAAGCGGAGCTTTATCAAGCAAACATGTTGGAAATGGAAGACGCATCGGGCGTCATCAAGCAACAAAGGGCTCTACGTGGAAGACGCAAGGACAAATTGTCTCGCAGAAGGAAGCGGTTTGTTCAAGATTGCGTGAATACGCACTCTCTAATAGGAACCGCTCGTGTGGCGAGTATTTTGGAAAATCTGGTGCTGCGTGACACCAACAGCGAGAACGATATACAGCATGAAATGGACCGCATTCTCGTGTACAAAGAAATAGCTCGGGAGAACAGGTCAATGCGAAACCAAGAGTATTCGAATCAGCAGGAGGTGGACTCCATGACAGCGATGGATCGAGATACTAGCTGCTACCACAATCTGCTTCTTCAATTCGAGGATAACAGCGAGATGCAAATTTTACAACGAAATGACGTCCAGCAGTCCATTGAAGCAGCAGAACGCTTTCTTAGTGAGCAAATTTCGAGCACTATCATGCAGGAAATGGTGGCTTTTGTGTTGTTCATAGCTGGGAAAAGGGAAGAAACGTTGCATTCTAGAGATCCTGCCGTATTCCTGACGACGGAGACATGGAACGAATACAAAATTAAGTTTGCGAATGGATGTAACTTTGAAGAAATGACTTCGTGGTCTGCGTCTGTAAAGCCAAGTCAAGCAGAGTTACTGGATATCCAGGAGCTGGAGCAATATCTGTCGAGTTTCCTGCCATTCCACACCAAACTGGATCAGGAGGCGCCACTGTCGATAATCAATGATGGTTTTCTATTTCCAGGAGCGACGGAAGCTATACAGGATTGCTTCGTTCTTGGAGAAGAAATTAAGACGTTGCGGTGGATTTCTCGCTCGTTGCCTTTAGTGGAGAGCCATGAGCTTGACGAAACCAATGTTGCGCCGTGCTTACCTGGCTCCAACGGACCTGTAACGAGATCTCATCAACAACTTCGAATCCTTATCTTTGGCCCTGCTTTTTCCGGGAAGGAGACGCAAGCGAGGCTTCTTGGCGAATCACATAACTTGACTGTGTTGTCTGTCCATGATCTCATTCAATGCTCTGTTAAAAACTCAAGTGGAACTGGAGTCGAAGTAAACGATCTTCTTGTCAACGGCGAGCAAATTCCTCTGGAGCTGTACAGCCGCCTTATACTCGAAGCGATCAGGGGGATAGAGCAATCTTTTTCACTACATGTAGATGGCAAGAGTAAAGCCGGCTGGGTGATCTACGATCTGCCTGCAACAGCACAACATGGCCAGAGTTTAGAGGAGCACCTCACAGGATATAAAGACCCAGCTGATACTTCTTCTCCGTATGATTTCGAATCCTCCATCGCTCCAGGTCGCAGCAAGCCACCGTTGACTCCGACATTTCTACACGGTAAGTCGGGAGTAGATCTGGTCTTCCATTTCGACTGTCCTGCTGGAACAGTCTTGGATCGGTGTTTGGGTAGAGTGGAGGATGTCACGACAGGAGACACACGTCATTTGGTGTTCGACCCACCATCGGATGATTCAACTGAACGGCATCGACTGCAGCACGTCAATTCTAGCGCGTATTCCAGTGAGCTGTTATCTCTTCACTGTTGGGCGAGCGATGAATTTATGCACGACCACAAGGCTTGGTACACGAAGTTTAATACTCTTGATGAGCCTTCAAAGACTGGGATGACTGCAGACGAAGTACATGGAGCTGTCACGAGTGTTGTGGACCGTTTACTGAAGGAAAGAAAATATGAAGCGGAGTCTAAGCAACTCCAGCAAGAGGCAGGCGAGCAAGCTCTTATGTCAACTGAGGAGGAACGGCAACGACGTATGGATGCGTTTGAATCGGAACTTGACGAAGCCAAGATAACTGTGATCAAAGTGGAGGCGTCCATAGCAGAGGTGGAGGAAGCGAAGGCAAAGAAAGAAGAGACGGCGGAGCTTCGGCAGAAGTTGGAGGGAGCCCACCGTCAACTCGATGGTATTAAGACTGCTGTAAAGAGCTGGATGGAAGACGAGATATCGAGTCGTCCTGTGCCAAGCAACAAGTATTCGGGAGAGCTGGTACCAGCAACTGCCCAAGCGCTCGCAGCATTGTGGGATGAAATGGAAACAGAGTACATTTCTACCATGAAGGAAACTTTCGCACAGCTACGTGAACAGCGACACCGTGTCACCGATCGCGCGCAACAAATGACGAGCGAGTATTGTGAGTTCGTCCGTCGTTCCGACCGGAAGCAAGAAGTTGTTAATCAATTCCAACGGCAATTCAACGAGGTGGTTGACGAGATGCGTTTCGAAGATCCGACAAAGGTGGAGCTTCACTCCCGTGCAGATATCCTTCAAGATGAACTAGGATCTCTACTCGAGACTAAAGCCTCAGAAAACGACGAAGAGCTCAATAGCATGGTTGGTGACGGGTGGACTGAAGACACATGTCAACAGGTCGCTGCGATTTATCAAATGGCGCTCCAGGCCGAGTGGGATCGCTTTCGGACGTCTGTTCAAGTTCTCGTTAACGGCCATTACGCTGCAAGTAGCGATTGCTCGGCGTTGAGTGGAATTATGGAGGTTTGGCAGTCTCATCAAGCGCGACTAGAGCAGGCGTGCAGAGTTTATCGCGACCCAGCGAATATAACTCCGGTTGAAACTCCGTTAGTGTCCGTCGCAGCAGCGAAAGCTGCTCCGAAGGGGAAAGCGAAGGCACCTGCTGCTGCCATCGTGGCCCCATCCAATGTGGCTGCAACGAATGAAGATGCACTGGCAGAGGCTTTGACTATGACTGAGCTGTTGGCGGAGTATGGACACGTTCTTCAGCGCTGTAGCTCGTGGATGGAAGCTATCGCTCTAATTGCCAACCCTGCAGCAGAAAAGGGTGGAGAAGCTGGCGACACGCAGAAGAAAGACGGCGATTGTTGCAAAGTGAATTTGCTGACTGGGATCAAGTACGAACATGATCTGATGGAGCGAAGAGTTCGGTTTCTTCGGGAATCTACACAGAACTCTAGCGATGGAATTACGAGATCAATGCGCTCCATAGAGATCACTTTACGAGATTTTTCAGAGGATCGGAGAGTTCGAGAGCAAGCGGCTGTGGCTGCAGTGATCGAGTATATCCGTGTCGCCGTGGAGAATGAAGTCGCTCTTTCTTCTTTTATTGATGTCAGCGTACGTGTTCTCGTTATCATGTTGAGATTGCTGCACCGTGCACGTAGGTTAATTTGTTTGTTCTTGATGTACTTGCAGCCTGAATTCGTCGAGCGGTTCCCAGCGACTGTGCAGCTGCGTCAAGATACGCTGGTACGAGTTGATGAAGGTAAACGATTGTTGCCTCAAGCTCCTCCAGATACTTCACCTCTTGTTGAAGAATCACACGAGCTGCTTCTCAACCCTCGTCAACGCGATAGTCTTCAAGAGGCTTTAGCCTCTCAGACCACCGACGACTCTGGACTTGTTCCTCTCATCACCGTAGTGGAGACAATGACAGCTTTGACATCTTTACCCGATGCGCTTCCTGACGTTTGGCGACTGTGCCCTGCACACATTATTGCAGAGGTAATAGCCGCAATGCTCGCACTTTACCTAGAGCGGTCCTTAACTCATGGCTCCTGCTCGTTTCCCATGACAGATCGCTGCAAAATTCACAATGAAACGCGCAGGGTTCGTCGATATTGAAGCTCTGCTCACTGCCATGAGCACCCGCGACGACCTGCTTTGTCAGCTCCAACAAGAAGAACAACTCAAACTACAGGAGCAACAGCCTATGTTTGAACAACAGCAAGAGACCTCAGATAATGAGCCTGTGTCCACAGAATCAGCGGCATAACACCAACCAAGCAGCACAATACAGTCGTGTATTCTTCCCTCACCACCTTTTCGTCTGTCTCTATAGCTTAGTGGATGATAGGGTTCTCGCCCACTTCCGCGACAAAGTCGTGTTCATCGCCCATGAAAATCTTGAGCTTCTTGTCTTGCAGGGCGCGCATGCGGTTGCGCGGCAGCATACCGTACACGGCCTTGCGCAGCACCTCCTCGGGCTTGCGATCGAACATCTCCTTGGCCGTACGTTGCTTGAGACCGCCCGGGTGACCTGTGTGCCAGCGATATAACTTATTGTTCCACTTGTTGCCCGTGAGCACAATGTCCTTTGCGTTAATCACCACCACGTAGTCACCGCAGTCGACGTTGGGGGCGTACGTGGGTTTGTGCTTGCCGCGCAGAATGGGCGCCAGCTGCGACGCCAGACGACCCAGTACCTGGCCCTTAGCGTCCACTACGTGCCACGCCACCTTGGAGGCCTGCGCGATCTTGCTCATGCTTCTCTACTTGGCCGCTCTTCGTGACCGCAGAATGCTCGCAATGATGCCCACCCGTCCAGGCGTCCGATTTGTGGTGTAAATAACGTTAGTTTGTGCTCATAAAAAGTTAAAGGTACTTGCTATTCAACCCGACTGGTGTGGAAGAGACAGGCTAATGGTGCCCGACAGCACCCGATCAATGCCCGACCATGCCCGACACAAAATAAGTCAGTTGAGCAATCAAGCGTCCGTATACGTATATCCGGATGTGAAGACTTTGTGGTTTGAGCGTGCAAGTACGACCGGCATCATGTCTTGAGCATGAGAAACTTTAATCAGTAGAGCTCAGTGGGACTGGTAAGTGCAGAATCAAAATCAACTTCTTGAAAAAGTTAACTATAGACACATATATATGTATCTGTAGCGCAGATACTGTAACTCCTTCCTACTCAGCATGCACAGACCTTGGGCACCAGCGAATACCTCAAACGCTAGCAGAACATACATACCACAATTGTATGAATCTACTTGTACCCCTAGATCGCCCATGTAGTGGTGTACTCGGTATTTCCTTGGTGCGTAGTTTGGCAGTTGCATTGCCAGCTTTTCTGCGATGGCTCGAACTCTAACGACATAGCTCGAGCTCATTGGGTCGTAGATGCACACATCATTCAGATTTAAGTTCACCATTACGCAGCACCAATGCGTGTTGCTGCAGCATATAGGGATCAGAATTTTCTCGTTCGTCTTGCCCGCGAAAATTGAAGCGAAGGCTCTGGTATTGACAAAACTATCTTCATTATCAATGGAACCGATAACACCTGGATCCACAATGACGACATCATTTCGTTCTCCGAACAGCTTGGACATGACGATATTCATGGTATCGTCGCTTAGCTGTTTTTTTTCGACGAGATCTAGAATTTCTGCCTGTTTGTCAAACATAACGTTTAGTTAGGAAGTGTTGTAGTGATGGCATGATTTCGTCGACGTACCTTTGCAGACAAAAGCGGGATTGACTGCATCTTTGGCAGCATATCCGTCTGTAGCACCACTTGAAACGGAGCAGGCATTGGGAGTGTGAAGTCAATGGTTTTGACCAACTTCACAGCCTTCTCGACCTGTTTTACCACCTTTATTGCCCTGTGCCACCTATTCATGATCCCAATTGTACTCGTTGAGTACGCACCAAAGCCTGGAATATCCAGCGCCACGGCACTTTCTGCTAGGCCTTTGTGCTTCGACTGCAGAGCCGAAACCTTTTTCCTGCAAATGGCAATTTGTTCAGGGCGCAATATCCGCGTGATCGACTCTGCTGGTATCAAAGCGATTGTGGGTGGCAAGCTCGATATTGTTCGTGCTGTAGGTGTCTTGAACTTGAAGCCATACTCCACCATTTTGAACTTGTTCACAACTGCAGCTGACGATATGTATGTTGCATCCGAAGACAGCGCTGCATCCACGGACGCCAAGCTTAAATTCGAAGCGTACAGGTCTGAGTCTTCTTGAGCTACAATGACAGTTTTTTTACGAGCTGCCTTCTTTGATCTGGCTGTCTGTCTTGGTCGTCCTCGCGATCTTGGAGGACTCGCTATCACAAATGGCGTGTCCTCCGTTGCTGGTGGTAGTGTGCTTAATTCAACGTCCCCGACTGTATCCAATTCTTCCCCGACTGGATCCCATTCTTCCCCGACTGGACCCGATTCTTCCTCGACTGGACCTGATATGCCCCCGACTGGCCCGATAAATCTACATCTAGAGTTGTTTCGACGGAGTTGCAGCTTGTGGCATGGTCAGACTCAGAGGCAGTTGGGGATACATGACTCACATTTGCTGTATCCGCATGACGAGTAAGCAGTTCTGTCGACACGTGGTGAGTTGGCCGTGCAGTCGGATCGTGACCAGTAAGTAGTGGCGGCGACAGCGCATCATCGCGCGAGTTGCTAGTCGAACCGTGACGCTCAGATTCAGCTGGTGGTAAAATTGGCACACCGGGATCCTCGAATTTGCCTCTCTTGAACCGCCCAGTCACACTTTGAAGATACTGCATCGCTTTTTTATACTGCGTCATGCCGAGTCCCGCCATGGTGTCACAAATTTGGGATGCAAATTGCAGTGCTTCACGATATTTGCGGTTCGAGTCCCACGGTCTCGCCTGTGAGGATATCACATTTTTTACCTCAAAAGACTTTGGCTCCGCTGTGTCAGAGACGACACTTGAATTTTCAATCGCCGCACGCACAGTAGACAGCAGCCACCGCCTGTTTAACAGTAGTGTGGGGATGACTGTCTCCTGACCAAGAGCCTTTCGGAGGGAGAAAACGTGTCGACAGGGTAGCAATCTCGTGCACATGAATAGACAGGAGCACTTCCATTCGCGCTTAGTAACTGAATACTCGGCGTTCATCTCGTCCAGCGCGTCATCTGCTGTAGATGTACTCTTGATAAAATACACGTCTAGGCACCCCTCATAAAACGTGTACGACGCAGATCCAATAGCATACGAATACTGCCCGAATATAAGTTCACAAGCATGCTCACTGACAATATTCGCCACCATTGTCATCTCGCTGTCGTAATCAGGATGCTGGACGGTCACATTCTTGTATACTTCTGCAATGAACAATCGCTCTTGTAACGTTTGATAGTACATGGTCGAAGCGATGCACTCATCCACTCCCATAAACGAATCCACCCACTCTTTAAGCTGCTTCCAAGAGGCTTCTAGGCGATTGTTGGTGTTATTGCCGAGTGTGACGGTATTCTGGCGCCTATGTGCACACCAGAGCTCACGACAGCTGTCCCAATTCTATCGAAAGTACTTCACAAAAGAGATGTTCATCAATGCGAGAAAAAATATCTTCCAGTTCATGATCTGGGCGCTACCAGTCAA